AATGTTTCAATGTTAGAGCTTAAATAATACCTTTAAATATTGAATTGAATACCTTATTCTAAAATCTTGACTATTTATCTAGGAGCCAATTTTCTCTAGAGTACTCTCAATTGTTTAATTCAGTAATGACCACAGAATTAGTATTAGTAATTAGAATTAGAATTAGTATCTAATAACTGATAACCTTTCTTAAAAGTAATTTGTGGTTAAAATCCTTTTGGGAAAATTAGCAAAGCCAGATGTTAACTAGGAAAGCTCTTCTAATTATTAAAATAGTCATTAAGATCAGACAATAAACGACCACATGGTGAGGACCATGGAGACTTTCAGGTCACAGTATCCTAAGTTTTAGTGAGAAATACAGGAAAAATATATTTGAAATCTATGTCACACAGAAGGTAACTACAATCCAGAGTAAAGTATTTTCTTTTCTCATCATGGCGCTTGAATTTAAGGCCTGGCCTCTGTCTCTGGGCTTTTTTGCTCAAGGGTAGTGTTCTACCAGTTTGAGCCACAGTGCCACTTCTACTTTCCTGGTGTTTAATTAGAAATGAAAGTTTCACAGACTTTCTTGCCTGGGCCGGCTTTGAACCATGGTCCTCAGATCTCAGCCTTCTGAGTAGTTCAGATTACAGGAGTGAGCCACCAGCACCTGACTGAGTAATTTAAATTTTGTGAGACTGACACACTACCACTACCTACTGTGCTAATGAGGCACCTCGTTGTGTACATTTTAAATTAGCAACACAAAAATTTAAAGTGTCTCCCCACAAAATAAGGCTAAATCATGATGTGGTGGACAGGCTAATATTTACTTAGCTAAACTTAAACATTCCACCCTGTATACTTGTATTACATCCTATCTCCCACATGTATATACAATTATGAATTTTCCATAAAAATTCATAGTAGCTCTAGAACTTTTAAATCTTCAAATGATTGTATGAGGGTATTACAGTTAGCATGTCCATGTATTTATGTGTATATTACATCTTAATCAGAGGTACCCCGTCCGTCTTTCCCCCATTTCCGTCCCTTCTGCAAGGCATAGTACATTAAGGTACAAATGTATATTCAGCATTGGTACTGTATTTGTCCTCCATTTTGTTAAATAGGCTAATATACATAAAATGTTTTGTAAAGCTCAAAGTAAAAATTACTAATATATTTGCCAAAATTACATTCATTCCATGATGGTATCTGTAAGAGAAGAACTAGATCCAGGAAAGGACATTTCTCCCAGCCTAACTCTACTTTCTCAGTCATATAAATTGTAATTTCTATAGGAAATCTAAAATTAAGTCAAAAGTATTCTGCTCTGTATTTGACAACATTAAAATTCTTTTGGGGGGCATCTAGTATGCTAAATGGCATCACATAACAGGGAGTCCCTTCTGAAGGGATTTTTGCTACCTTTGGAAGAAAACACAATGTATAAACTTAGTGTTATCTCTCAATGTCTAGTTATAGTATATAATGTAACTATAACTTAATTATAGTACATTCTGCAATTATGTGCTAATTATAATAGCATGTATGAAATTAAGTGTTTATACTTCGCATACTTGTTTCACGTAAATATTAATTAGTTTATTTAAAAGTATTGTTCCCTTTGATGTTGTCTAGAATGGAAAGCACCTGCAAAGGCAAATTTGTCTTTGAACAAAGAAACATAGCCTGCAAATACACAAGTCGAGTGACACATAAACAGCTATTGTGACATAGGTACAAAAAAACCCCAGTTTAATTTGCTATATTGTTCTTATCGTAGATGCTGGCATGAGACATGAGTCTATTAATTGGGTGCAAAGAATGAGAATTAATGGAAATTATATCTTGCACTATTATAAAATTTAAATTTTTATTTAAATTGGGATGCTATTAAACCAGATTTATATAGCTATAGCTATATAAACCAGATTTATACAGCCCAGCTTCATAATACTTAGCATAAATTGATTTTTAAATGATTTCTTTTAAATTTAACTCCTAGGAGCATTATTTTTCAGCAGGCAGAAATTATAAGACTATAAATACATTCTGCTTTTGTAGGCAGCACTGGGACTTGAACTCCGGGCCTCATGATCTGGCTTGACTTGTTGCTCAAGGCTAATGCTCTAGGAATTGAGCCTCATTTCTACTTATGACTATAACTATATAAGTTCTTAATCAGTAATGGTAACAATTTTGTCATAGAAAATGTGACTGTATTTTGTCTCTTACACACCAGATTATGGTGTGTCTCTGTTTTGTGCTGGTTGGGCCTTTGTTTCACTAGGCTATCAAATTTAATTGCTAAAATTGGTTCATATTTTCCCTTCAGTTTTCTTATTTAATCTGCTATTCTCTCTGATAACTCGAATTTGGTTTAGACACAAGAAGCGGGTAATGCTGCCCGGTCCTAACCTTGTTAGTACTTTTGATACATCAAAAACTTTTCAAGACACTTTTTGTGCTATGGGCTTGAATATTACTAGTTTACTCTCCACTAGTAGAAACACTGAAATTTTAGAGGCATTCAAATATATAGCGTGATATTTTTCAAAATAAAGATATAAAATTATTTTATAACTGTTAACTAATTGTAGCCATAAAGAGCAAAAGTATGTGTCTTTATACCAAACCAGCAAATGATACAGATCTTCAGAATGTTATATTAGAAAGTTTTCTAAAAGTGAGCCTCATGTATCCTTACTTTCATACTATATAAAATAACACTTCCAGGAAATTATACTCCTCAGTCATGCCACATTGTTAATATGCTAATGTGAATTTTAACTTTGTGAAGCTGAGTTAATAGAGAGAAAATTTACAACAAAAGGGTGTCATTTGAAATTCATAGTACTTAAAGAGGCAAACTTCTATTTATGTCAGAATTACCTCAAATTTATCATTATTTTCTGGATTTTGTTTGTAAATGAGTTCGTAGGCCTGGCTTTAATGAATCAAATGTAAGGTCTAGTCAAATACAGTTATTTCTTGAACGAAAAAGATACAGCATTTTCTTTTCTGTTAAAAAATACAACAGGAATATGGATGGAGTTGTACATTTTCTGAATCTAAGAAAGGACTAATGTAGAACTGGAGCCATCATTTTTTTCTACTTTTTTTATTATAAGAAATGCAGTATGTTCAAATAATGCTGCTTAGAAACCTGTTTTTAATTAATGAGATCATTATAAACATTATTGAATCTGAAAGGATTAACTATTCTTCTTTATGGATATATTAGTAATATTACTCACTGCTGTGCCTGGTAAAACATTGACACTAAAAGGGATTTATGTAAATTAAGAACGTATGCAAAAATTGGTTGGTGTGAATGTGTATATTATTTTCTATACTTTTGAACATTTTCCCTCCTCCTTATTTTTTGCCAATCTTAAGTGGAGGACCACTGAGTTGTTTATAAATCATGAAATTATGGGTTTAGCATTTCAGGCATAATGAATATCGTTCTTGGAAATAATAGAAAGCGTGCTTTTACTTCAGAGTAGAAATGACTGATTATCGCAGACAGTGACCATTCACAAATGGTCATTGGATGTATCTCATGTGCTATTCTGGATTCAAGAAACATAGTGACATCCTCCAAAACTAAACCCTGGATTATGCCTTCAAGCAATGACATGTATTTGAGAGGCATTTGAGAAAGCTTGAATAGAAATTGCTGCTAGATGAAATGAAAACCTTATAGCACAGATAGAGATCATTACCCAGAGAGAGAGCCACATGGAGAGAGACAGACAGACAACAGACAGACTAACCAAAACAGTGGTGCAAAAAGTCCCAGAATGTACTATATATTTTAATGTAGTCTATCTACTTCTTTGGGTGAGACTACATCTCTAAAAATACACACAAAATTACTAAAGTAATCATCAATGGTTGGTAGCAATGTACATTTTTTCTTTCTTTCTGTTTCCCTTTTGTCACATTTTAAAAGAGCATAAATACCTGTGATTTAATGAAATATACTATCAATATTGAAGTATATTATTTAAAAAGCTATAGTGGCTGGAGTGAATTTGAAGGAATGGTTGTAAACAGTGTTTGTTTCCTCCTGCAGAGTTTCCTCAATACAAGATAAAACCACCTGGAAATCTCAGAGGAAACAAACATATTTCACACTTTAAAAATAATTATTACAAATAGACATTCAACTTCAGAGCGCTTTCTCCTAATGTGACAATATATTGAGTGTATTACACTTTACAGCTCAAGAGTATTGATTTATTTTATATCGGATTTTCCTAATTGGTGCCATCTCAAAAGTGGTCGATAGAATTATTGAAGTTATCATTGCCACGTGAAGTAGTCAGGTAGAGCCATTTGTTCTCATTAATTGATCTTTCCTTGCAGCCCTCGTGTTTTTTGAGCCAAAATGACACACAAATATAGGGGTTTTACATCTTTCCTCTATACAGTAAATTCTATGTTCATTATAAACCTTAATGGAGATAGAAATGTTAGAATTACAGATTTTAGCGACATCCATGTTTCTTACCACTTAGAGTTGCAACAAGGTTTATTGATTTAAAGATTGTAATAATCATTACTATAGATTTTGCTGTGTTTAGGACTTTGGTAATGACTATGGCTTAGAAGAGAGTTTCAGAAGAAGTTTCAGAAAAGCTATGTGACCTTTATTTATTATTAGATTTCTTACAATGTGCCACTGAAGAAAAAACCTACAGAGTTAAATTAAAGCAATATTAGTGGGTCTATATATAAAACCAAAGATATGATAAAGGTTTCTAATTAATCTCCTTTTATTTTAAAATATTCAGGAATCTAGAATGTTTGACTAGACACAAGGAATCTGTAAGCATTACTGATATGAATATACTTTATAAATATTAATAGCAATTTTGACTTAGAGAAATCATAAATAGAACCATTCTATTTCTGAGCATTTTGAGTGTTTAAGCATTTAAATCTTCATTTTACTTTTCATTTCATTTTATTAATTTGTCATTCATTTTTTTCTTCTTTTCAAGGCCCTGTGGAATCCTACATGCACTGAAGGTTTATTTAAACCAGTATATATTTCAAGCTAGTTCAAATAATTATTTGATCCTAAGAAACGCACCTTTGACCCATCACATGTTAAATACTGAGTAAATTCTATCATTCCACATGTGAACAATTTCTCAGAATATGTAATAAAAAAGTTCTAATTCCAAATGTCCATACATTTTTCATTCATAAACAATTACACATTATTGATGGAAATTCAACTAACATATATCTGATTTATTCTTATTGTGTTAAAAATAAACTTTTCTTTAAATTTTCTCTCTATATGCAAATATTCTAAAATGTAATATTCCACGTGGCAGCAAGTATTGTTTGTTCAAACCTTTTCGTTCATTTCATTCGTCTTTCTGGTGGTAGTCTTCATTTTTTTTCATGTCATTTTTATGTAAGTTTGAGAATAATCATTTCTTTCATCTTAGTTGGACAGTTTCTAGAAACTGGAGAAGTTGTCCACAATCTCTTTTCTCTTGCACGAGAACCAAAAGATGAAAACAGTATGCTTCCAAATGAAATAAATACTGAAATCTTTTTCAAGCTGCAGAATGTAAAAAGAAAAATCCCAATATTACTTATTAGTTGAAAAATGTTTATTGATAATGGATCTCATATTGAAGAATGTTTATGAATATGTCATGAAAGGGAGCTTGTATGCTGGACTTGACATTGCTCCCTATTTTCTGTGTGTCTTCTGTTTATTACCTTTCTATTATAGCTCAGTTTAATTTTCAAATGCTGGGGTGGCTACAAGTCACTTCCAAAGTTGTAGTTTATGACAAGGATAAATGATAGAAACAGACAACTCAAAAGAATAATTTAGTGATGTGGGCAGGTGCAGAGCAATGGAGGAGCCACAGAGCTAACAAGAAGAAAGCAAGGTTTGTGGGGTTTTGTTGTTGTTTTTGTTCTGGTACTTACTGGGTCTTGAATTCAGAGCCTTACTCTCTTGCTTCGGCTTTTCATTCAAGAGTATTGCTCTACCACTTGAATCATATCTCCACTCTCAGTGCCCTGCTAAAAAGCAAGTTTTACTGTTTCTTTATTTTAAGTAGACAATGAAATAATCACAAATTATGGAAGTAACCTTCAGAAATACTTAATAAAATTCAATAAATTATTTTAATTTTAACTTTTATAGAACAATTAGATGCTATGCATAATCCATGTTATTAAAATAATAGTATAGTTATTTACATAAAAGCATTGTTAAGTACCATTGTTGATTTTACCAACAATACAGACAACAAGTTTTGCTTTGCCTTACCTCATTTTTATCTTTTTTTCCTTTTATTGTCTTGTTTTATATTTAAAATCTTTGCATGTAGATACCACAAGACTCCATCCTCTTAAATAAAACATTTCCAGATAAATATTATTCATCAGTTTGAGCAGTCAAGATTATTTGAAGAAGTAAAAATTCAACTAAAGACATTTTGAAGAAGCTGCAAAATACAAATGTTTATAGCAATTGGAAGGAATAAACCAAGAAAAATAGTATTTCCTCAAAAGTAATGTTAACATAAACGGTCAATGCAGATAAAGCAAGCCAACTACCTCAAAGATGGATTTCTATTTTGACTTTTGGAAAAACACCAGCAAACTAGTTTAATTGTGATATGCTGGAATCACAAGTTCCTCTTTCTTCCTCCTCTCCTCCCTCCTCCCTCTCTTTCTCTCCCTCTCTCTCTCTCCATACTCCCTCCTCCTCTTTCCCCTCCTTCTTCCCCTCCCACTATTTCCTCCCTTCTCCTTATTTCCATTTCCTTCTCTAGCTCCCTCTCCCTTTCTTCCTCTCTCTTCCTCTCTCCCTCTCTCCATCCAGCATTGAACATACATAATGAATATGCTTCAGAGTAATATTTGAATTTCCAGATGAATGATCTTTAGTCTTTCTCACAATATTTAACATATATCTTATTTTATTATTATTATGTATTTGTTTCATTATTATAATTGTGTTTTAAGTACTTATCTGATTTTGTAAAAGTGTGGATAAAAGTAATGAAAATGTTAATGAAAATGTTACTATTGTTTCCAAAAAAATATGTGGTAACTATTACCATTGTACCACATTCACGATGTAACTAGGCTAAGGCTAATAATTCCCACATAGAGCAAGTGATTGTAGGTTTGTTTGCACCAACATTATTTATTGAAGAAAGAAAGTGTTCTCTTTTATTAGCATGGTTGCCTGTTTGTGGCAAATGCCTTTGCAGTTGATAAAGTTTGGTCAAACGTTATTTTCCAAACAAGGATTCCCGTTACATTCAAGTTCCTGTGACTTTTCTGACAAGAGACCAAGAAACAGTTTCCAGGTTTAAAAATATATATAATTTTATTTTGTTTCCCTGATCGCAAAATGCTGAAGAGTCCTATGCTTGCAAAACTCAAATGAGAATAACTGATGTAACTCTTCCATCAAAAAGAACCATTGTCCTTGGCACTAATTAAGAAGTGGTGGAATGTTCTGTGACTTGCAAATGACATCTATTGGAATTTGAAATTGCATAATGGTGAAAAGTAAGATGGGCTGTGAAAGGGGAATAAAGGGCTCAGAGACATCTTTCTTACTCTATAGGCTATTCCTTATTGCAGTTTTTTCAATGTTTCTGTTAAGACTCTCAGGTAAGATAGAGTCAGGCCTAAGATCATAAGCACAGATCTATCAAACCTTTTATTCTTCATTGGATGTCCACTGTCTGGTTCAGAGTAACAGTTAGTTATTCCCAGGATTGGTTTGATGGAATTCCCTCACACAGTAAAGAGGTCTCCTTTAGGTAATATCAATATTTTTGGCCCTGTCAGTGTGACATTTCCCCGGGAATCTATTATCTCTCATCCATAGATTTGAAGATCATTTCCTCAGATCAGTTCGTAACCATGAAACAGCATTAAAATGTTCACATAAGGATATTATTAGCTTGTTTGCTTGAAGAGCTAGTTTTTGAATTAGCAAAGCAATTAGAGAATACCTTTCTTTGCTTTTCCCTGAAGAAAACCAAGTGCTTTAATTCTTTCTTCTCTACTTACTTCAGTTTTAGTGTTCACTCTGAGAATTCACATTGCATTATAACAGAGAGCTAAAGCTAGTGCCCACAATTTATCACTTCTCTGTAATTGTACTTTAGAGAAATAATGTATATGGTAATGGTTTACTGCCATTAATTTTTTTATTTCTCTCCAGTTTTTGAATACCTTAGAGTTTGAAGCAAGAAATTAAACACTGATTTACTTGATGTTTATCTACTTGTTTTCTTTTATTTTTCACTTGTAGCAAATTTTCAGCCATTAGTGATTTATTGTGGGGGAAAGGATAAAACTCTATTTATTTTAGAGAATAAACCATAATGTAATACAGAAAAACAAGAGCAACTATTTAACCTTATATAACTATTGAAACTCATAAATTTTATTTTATTTTCCATTTTCTCTTTGTGTAAAATTATTCCTATTAGAGTTATAATCTCTTCAGGTAATTGGGATATATTGTGTCCTTTCTTACTTTTGCTCCATTTTTATATTATATATCTAGTTATGTGTTTTATTTAGTATCAACTTCCTCTTATACTAAATATTTCACATACAGTTTTAGGTAATAAGTTGTCTTTCTCTCTGTGTCTCTTTCTCTTCCTCCCTCTCTCTTTTTGATTGGTCATGAGGCTTGAACTCAGGGCATAGGTACTGTCTCTGAGAATTTTCACTTAAGGGTTTTTCTGGTGGTTAATTGGAGATAAGAGTCTCAGGGACTTTCAAGCCTGGGCTAATTTCGAATGGAGGTCCTTAGATCTCAGCCTGCTGAGTAGCTAGGACTACAGATGTGAGCCACGGTCACCTGGCAATAATGTCTCATATTTTATTTTCTTCTTGTTATTATAAACCCAAAGTATAGAAGAATAATTCAAATAAGGCAAAGCACATACAGAAAACTGAAGTCAGTCTTTGCAACCTGATTTGTCTATTTTATTTTCTACAAATTTGTGTTATTTCTGCATTCAAATCTGAATGCTTTTAGTTTACATCAGCCCTTTATGATATTATTTCTTTTCCCTTTTTTATGTAAAAAGCAAAGTAATGTTTACCCCATCCTTAGTAAGTTTCCTGGCTTTTCCAGGAATAACTTAATTTATCTCCTCTAAATTATTTGGCAGTTCAGTCATGGCTCACAGGTTTGATTATTACTAGCTATCTGGAACTGTTCTGAAAAATGTCTATGCTTTAACTATTTTCATGATAACGAAAGCTCCTCAAGTAGAGGCCATTACACAATGCCCTTTAGCAAGCAAGCAAACTGGAAGGTAGAAAAATAAGTAATGTCTATAATTACTCTGCTAATATTACTGTAAATCCACTATTCTGTGCAGCAGGGATATGACATGAATATCATCCTATTAACATTCTGATTTGACCATTTTTTGCCTCTGACTTTTATGCTTATGAGTATTACTCATGCTAATAGTGAAGCATGAGTAAATGAGTTGCTGTCATTCTCTTGGATGGAGAGAACAATGGTTAATACTAACTTGGTGCTGATGTGCTCCAAGCAGCCACGAGCTTCCTTCCTGTCTGTGGACTCATGGTATCAAAAGAACCACAGCTCTACCATACAGTCAGACCCTGGTTTTCACACTGGCAAGTGGCGGGCTGGCACAGAAAGGTGAAGGAAGAGACACGTAGCCTCAGAGCTAGAATATGAATCCAAATGGCATCCCAGAATTCTCATGATTTCCCCCTCTACTGCGAACCTGGCTCCCCGGACACAACCAACTGATTCCATAGAGACAGAAGAGGCCAGGTAATTCTGCCAAAATAGTTGTCCTCAAGCATTAGTGACTATCAAAAACTTATTTGGGGGTGTGCTCCATGTACTTTACTGGTCCACAAGCAGCTCTCCTTTGTCTTAGCTCAGTCTGGAGACTTATGGGGAGAGAGTAATCTTTGCCTTGTTCCATAGCAGTCTTTGTACAGTCTAACAGATTGTACAATGAGTTTCAGATGTCCACCTAGAAATGTCACTTAATTCTTCTACTTGTACTTCCTTGGTTAAAGCAAGCTGCATGGCTACAGTTAACAAGGGAGGGACAAACTAATTGTATACCTAGAGTGTGAAAATCAAATAGAAAACAACACCAGTGCCTACAATTGCATGTTTT